TTACTTTAATATTTAATTTTCTCTAAGCTTTTCTGTATTCAGCTGCCCCCATTCATGAAACAATCAGCCAAACAAAAATCAACCAACAGATTTGACGAGTATAACTCCGTCACGTTCGGAATTTGGGGAAATACAAAAGGCTCCTTGCCCTTGAGGAGCTGAAGTACGACACAGGAAAAACACATGCACTGAAAGTTGAGGGCACAGTGAAGAGATCTGACAGCAGCCCTGGGGTCAGCACCTACCCTGACACAGAAGGATGTAAGTATGAACAGAAAGATGTCCATGCCACTGGAGCTGAGGGTGACAGAAACAGCCATGTGCCCAGAGCACAGGGGCCCAGGATGTTCACTGCTGCTGTTTCTTCCAGGCTCTAGCATTGGTGATGTGAGAAGTGGTGTTCAGAAGGAAAGTGAGAAAGGTAGACAGGCCAGTGCCTTCCACAGAACTGGGAAGCCGACAAGCGGTGTCCATGTCCCTCCACAGGCTCTCCTTCCAATGTGTTTTCACCATTCCATGCCCAGCTCCATTCACCAGTCAGTACCCCAGTCATGCTAAGTAGAAAACAAACTTAGTATGTGATCAAAGTCAAAGGGGAATTTAATTTCAAAATAGGTCTCTGAGGGCTCTCAGGGTCCTACCGGTCTTGTAGGAGGAAGTCTTGAGGGGTAGAAGGAGAAGTTTTTCATCACTGATAACTTCACAGGTTTACAAATATTTCTTATTAGTCTGCACAGAGATTCTTCTTTATCAGGAGAAAGAAGTATCTTTTCAAATGTGAAAAACTCAAAATGCGATTTATTAGGCTAAAAATATATTCAAATATAACACTCCAGATAATATTTTATCACATATTTTCCCTTCTGGTGTCAAAAACTTCTCTAAAGGTTTGAAACATGTACCATTTTAGTCTAATGATTCTCAGCGATGACCAATTCCTTTCATCCAAGGTTAAGGGAACAGCACCATAAACCATTAATTGGATCACTGTATCTAGTCCCTGTGCATAAAACTTTTCTTGTAGTATTTTTCTGTTGGCAGAGAGATAAGTAGCATCTAGGTTTACACTCACAAAGCAGGAAATAAATTGCTTAAGTTCATATTCTAGAACAGCTTACCCCCAAACTGAATGAACTTTACCCAGCTGGCTCCATTGTCCTTTTTTAGGGAGGATGTTTGCTATGAGAAAGTGCAAAGTTTCCAGCAATCTGTTCAATTTTTAAATGATCACTTAAACTTCCTTGACTACACACTTCGAATCCAAGAGAGACGAAGAGGCAAAAGTGAAAATGCACTCTGTCTGCTCTAAACAGGCCATGACACCATAGAAAATGGAAGAGCTGAACATAAACATTATTCACTAAATCTAAAGACAAATGGTCACTTTTCTTGTTCATATTAGTTGTCAATGCATCACTCCATCACCCCAAGGGGAAAAAAGAACATGTACCTAGTTTGTATAGCATTTTACCCATGACAACACTGAAGAAGGCTCAGCCTAGCCCAGGGCTTGTTTAAGAAAACTTTACCAAGTATCTCTGGGGCACTGCTTCAAGGAACCAGAGAGACTGGATGGATTCCAGTACTCCTCAGTAAACTAGTATGCCAATCAATTATCCTGTAGGGCTTACAAAACGAACCAGAATGCCCATCCCATTTAATCCTCACAGAGAAAGCTGAAACAATCACTTCTCCCCAGGAGTGAAATGGCATCATTCTGATGATGCCCGGGACTGAAGCCAACAGGCTCAGCTGGAACCTAAGGCTTCTCAGCCAGAAACTGGGACCTTGAAACTATACAGCAAGTGGATCTCTTGTTCCACTTGCTATGTTTTCCCAAAGCAATAAAAGTTTTATTTTTTTCTTAGACAAATTTGGTTCTCCATGATTATACTGCAAAGTCAACTTTCTTAGAGAAGCAATTCCAAACACCTTTTACCTTTATGAAACCCTTTTCTAATCCTCATTTTTTTATAAAAAGTGTAGTACTTCCTTCTTTTAAAAAGCAAGATAGAATTTTTAAAGCGTAGGAAGACATTTTTTTAGCCTCATGCCAAAGACACTGCCCCATGTATTTTGAATATTATAGTTTTAACTGCCATATCTTATGGTAGAAAGTGGGAGGAGCCAAGCTGTTAAGTTCTTCATTTTTTTATTGTTTGGAAAATAGTTTATTGCTTTTCTAAAAATGGAAAATGCTCATTGTAAAAATGTCCAACAATCTAAATATATTCAAAGCAAAATACTGTAAATAAAAATTGCTGCCCCACCACTCATGACTGCAAAAACCTGAGAAAGAAAATGAATTCAGGCCAGGCTTGGTGGCTCAGCCTGTAATCCCGTGCCTTTGGGAGGCTGAGGTGAGTGGATTGCCTGAGCCCGCGGGTTCGAGACCCGCCTGGGCAACTTGGCAAGACCTCATCTCTACAATAAATCAAAAAATTAGCTGGGCGTGGTAGCGCACGCCTGTAGTTCCAGCTACTTGGAAGGCTGAGGCAGAAGGATCGCCGGAGCCCAGCAGGTCAAGGCTGCGGTGGCCGGGAGTGGCCACTGCACTCCAGTCTGGGCAACAGAGTGAGACTCCAACTCAAAAAAAAAGAAAAAGAAAATGAATTCTGTAAAAACCTCAACTTGATTGTGGTAATTAGATTTCATTAATACATTCCCATTATTGAAAGAGAGATGAAAGGCCAGTATACCAGGGTCTACGGCCTTTCAAAGTGCTCTTCAGAAGTAGAAAACTAAAATTAAAAACCAGTCCTTGAAGTTGAGTAATCCAGTACACTAGAATATATAGCTCCTACTTCCTGGAATTAGCCTTCTGTGAACCTCAACTTTCCCTCTCTTAATCTCAATGCCAAAATAGCCTTCCCTTCAGGGATGCTAAGACACTTCACTTTTGAGACAAAGTCAAGTAGGAAAGATCATCATAAAGAAATAAATTAATTCTGAATCTGAGTAATGTTATTTTTTTCTTGCTTGGTCTGTGTACCAATTTCAGCCAGATCAACTCTCTTGGAATTAGACTGGGAATAAACTATCAATAACTTTAAAACATGTTTGCCAAGATAAAAAGGTAGCTCTAGTCATCAAATTTTCTTCACAGCTAAAATAATTCATCTCTATTTGTGGGAAACTGAAGTCAAACTTAACATGAAGTAAAGCTTTTTTTCCTGTCATATTGTAGAGATATTCTAATCTCCTCCCCAACCAGAATGATTCTGTTTAAGCAAGTATTTTATGACATTCCAAATTAATTCACTATCTGATTATGCTTCAATAATGACAATGCTTAGTATGACAGAAAAAACAATCTGATAAACTTTCAATTTCCATTTTTAATATTTCAACAAATAATTCAAATGTGTTTCTCAATAAATTTTAATGTTTCACAAAAGAAAAGTAATTCTCTTCATTTTAAAGCATATTTATATTTTCTTTAGCCACTTTAACAGTTAGGTCTAATAAGCAATAATTTATTTCATTTTATTCTCCCCCCATAGATAGGGTCTTGCTCTGTCACCCAGGCTGGAGTATAGTGGTGTGATCAGAGCTCACTGCAGCCTCAAGCAATCCTCCCACCTCAACCTCCCAAGCAGGTGGGATTATAGGCATGCACCACCACACCTAGCTCTTTAACTGTCTTTTTATTTCTTTTCTCAGTTGTTGGTTAAATGTCTTCTGACATGTCACATTTTACTTTCTTACTTTCTTGTGTCTTGTGTCATAAAAAGTGTTCAAGAACAGCTTTTTTTTTTTTTTGAGTTGGAGTCTCACTCTGTCGCCCAGACTGGAGTGCAGTGGCCGCTCCGGGCCACCGCAGTCTTGACTTGCTGGCCTCCAGCGATCCTTCCGCCTCAGCTTTCCAAGTAGCCAGAATTACAGGTATGTGCTACCATACCCGGCTGATTTTTTGATTTATTGTAGAGATGAGGTCTCGCTGCCCAGGCGGGTCTCCAACCCGCGTGCTCGGGCAATCCACTCACCTCAGCCTCCCAAAGGCGCGGGATTAGAGGCTGAGCCACCGAGCCCGGCTTCAAGAACAGTTTTAAGCAAAATGCTTGAATAAAATTACTGTAGTAAAAATAATTATTAAAATTGTAAAACCAAAATTAAAAATTAAAAAATAGAGCATTCATTTTGAACTTTTGTTTTCATCAGTTATAAGTAAGAGATGCAAAGTTACATCCTCAAAAAAGACAGGATTTCGTTTTATACTCATTATACTTTTTAAAGCAGTGGTTAGTGGTACTTTTATAATTCCGAATTTTGCAAAATTCAATGGGGAGAAATGAACACACCTGATCTACTAAGCATCTAAATAATCCATTTATTTGTCATTTAACCCTATGATTCATAAATTTCAATAAAACCTTTCATAGCAAAGAAAATGAGAGTACTTCTTTTATGACATTACAATATCTTTTTAATTTTGGTGGGGCCAGAGTGTTATGGATCCTCCAAAACCATGCGTGAATATACCACATACCCATATGAAAACCTGTCAATTAGCTTGAAAAAAAATGACCATTAATGTTAATCATTCAGAATAGGAAAAAAGCATCATTAATTGAATTGAGGTATGTCCTAATAATATTAGAATAATTATTGAATGGCATGACCAAGAAGTTGGGTGTTTAGAGTTAACCAGATACCCAAGTCCCTACTCATTAACATGTGGATTTGTGATTTTCTAAGAAATTTACTTTAATACTCTAATAAACATAAGTCAATTTTTCTTGTAGGGTTCAGGAATCATTTCTTTATCTTTGCATCAGAATCAACAGGATCATTATATAAACCATTTATTATAGATGTGTCATACATACCAGTTAAGAAAGCATCCCGGTTGGTGGTAACCTGTTGGATAAACCATTTTTTAAGTACAAAAATGCTTAACACAAAATAAGCCTGCTGCAGTTTTATGAAAACAAAAAAAAAATTAAATCAAACTTTTCATATTCTTTAAAAACGAGAAAAGCACGGACCAGTCCACTTACAGTCAGCTCACAGAAATCGATGCTATCAAGGCTTTTGCTTCTGTGTAGTCTCCCTTTAATTCGCCTTAAAGAAGGTTTCCCTTGACTGACACCAGAAGTAGCACCATTAGGATTTTCAGAGGACGGCGTTACCCTGCAAGAAAGGAAAAATTCTTAAAAAGAAAGGTTTACAGATGAAGACACTTCTCAAGTTTAAGGTAAGCATTTACTTGAAGGGAGCTCCTTTTTTCAACTAAAAAGCTAAGAACCACAGCGGAGCTACAATCTTTCAGATACCATTTCTAAATATTTCTTTGCAGCTGGTTAGTTTAGAAATCCTGACAGAGTTCAAATATAATATTCCAACATTAAGATTCATTAAATGTCAACACTGCAACCATCAGAGAAGCAATTAAGACCAGATTGAAGTTTCCTAGGTAATTTCAGGGGTATCTGCTTCCTCTGGGCAATTATTTATACAGCACTCATCCCGTGCCTGGCACACCCAGTACAAGTCAGCTGCCATTGTGTACATGCACAGATACTGTTTAGCATGCTTCTGTTATGCAAGAAACAAGTTTAAACGTGATAGTCATCGCTTAGCATAACTATGGAAGAAAATACAGATAAAAAACAGGAATCTAAGCCATCTATAGAATACACATTGATATACACGTTCATACTTATAAACACACACTTGAGATAGGCACATATTCTCTCATTTGTGTCACTACTGATGGCAGCCTGAGAACAAACTAACTAGACAGAAGATCCCTGGGTACCTGCAAGGAAACTGCTCAGTGGAATGAGTGCCTTACAGATGACAAAGTTCATAAAGGTTTATGAACATTTCCTTTTTTATGATCATGATCATATCTCCTATTTTAATACAGTCTACCTTCAAATATGTAACAAACTTTGTAACTTACTTAATTTGTTATATTTATTTATTTACTTACTTTTAATTTTTACTTGTTTTTTGAGCCAGAGTCTCACTCTGTTGCCCAGGCTGGAATGCAGTAGCATGCTCACAGCTACCACAACCTTGACCTGATAGGCTCAGACAATCCTTTTGCCTCAGCCTTCTAAGTAGCTGAGACTACAGGTATGCGCCATGCCCTGCTAATTTTTGGATTTATTATAGAAATGAGAACTCGCCAAGTTTCCCAGGTTGGTCTCCAACCCCTGGTCTCAGGCAATCCTCTCTCTTCCACCTCCCAATGCTCTAGGATTACAGGTGTGAGACACTGAGCCAGGCTACTTTTCTAAATTTAAAATGTTGTCTGGAAGGGATAACATAGGTTTCCAATTGCTTAAAATTGACACATGGGGATAAACTATTAGCAAAATAGATATAATTTATATATTTAATAAGACAGTACATATCATAAATAGATTACCTTAGGTACGGTTACAGTTCAGAAAAAAAGTAATACATCCATGTAGTTAAAATATTTGAAGAACACGGAAAGATATAAAAATGAAAAGTAAAAGCTGCCCTTTTCCCCTCATCCCAAACTCTCTCCCATTTCCAAAATTAACTACTATTAATAGTTCTTTGTGCTGTATAACCTCCCAGACAAATGCTCATGTTTATCTGTATGTTTATTTCCTTTTGAAATTTTTTGGTAAGGTGATCAAATTGTTCATATTTTCTTGCATCTTTTTTTTATACTTAATATCTTGAGGCTCTTCCCCTAATAACCCATATAGAACTATTTTATTCTTTTTAATGGCTAAACAGTGATGTAACACTGTACTCAACTATTTCCTTACTAATGGGCGTTTGATTTGTTTTCAAATGTGTGCTACCTAACCATAAAGCGAAGAACATCCTTGACAATATCTTTGGGTATCAATGCAATATTTACTTAGGAAAGATTTCTAGAAGTAGAAATACAGGATCAGAAGCAGGAGCTTTCTTAATGTTGACAGAGACTGCCTTTCAAAAAGGTATTACAGACTGGCACTGCCATCAACAGGACACGAGAATGCCTGAATACAAGGAGTGGTCCCTTAATACAAGAGCAACTTTATTACTGTATTTTATACCAATTTCTCCATGTCTTTCATTATATTTTTGTCATGCTAAACTGCTGATTTTGTAGAATGGACAATTATAGTCTCCCACCATGACTATGGATTTGTCAATTGATCGTCACATATCTATTAGTTTTTGCTTTTTATGTTTCAGATCTTTTTTTATTAGATGACTTAATGTTAATGGCTCATGTCTTCTTAGGGATTTAACGTTTTAACATATGAAATACCATGTCAATTAAAGATTTTGCTTTAAATGCTATTTTGTGTGATGATAATTTCCCCATCTACGTTTTTATATTCATCTTTTCCTGGTTTATTTTTTGTGTGCTTGTGTTTTCAAGCTTTCCAAGTCTCTCTCTCTTCTCTTTTTTAAAAATTGTACCTTGAATTCTTGGTAAACAGCATATAGTCAGATTGTTTTTCTTTTTCACACAACCTGAAAGTCAGTATCTTTTGAGAGAACTAATCTGTTCAAATTTATTGTTTACTGATATGTCTAGATTTATTCCTGCCATCTTGTTTCATGTTCTTTAAAAAAGTGCTTTCTTCTTTATTTTTCCACCTTATTAACTACTCCCCTACTGGTGGGCATTGAGTTTGTTTTCAAATGTTTGCAGTCATGATTGATTTTTCTTTGTCCTCACCTGTCCTGAGACTTTTATTCCAAATTAGTAGTTTGAAAGTTATACACCTTATTAGGGCAAATCCAACTTTAGCTAACCAACTATATACATACAAGCACATTAGCATATTAATATATGCATCTATATACAAACACATATTTGTACACATGTGCACATACAGGTAAATTTGCATTTTCTTATCAACACCTAGGATTCATCAGTATTTGCATCTCCTTAGTAAATGGCATCAGCACATCTTCATCCTTCTCCTTTCCCAGGACCCCCGCATCCCCACTAAAAGTCCCATGCTCCTCTTGGAACTAGTTTCCAAGTTTCCTAACTTCCTAGCTTCTCTCGCTTTGTTCTTTTGTGATTCTCTAGCTTACTTCTCCAGATTACTCATTTGCTCTTCAATTTTGTCAATTTAGCCATTCTCTTTTCTATCAATGACCACATTTTAAATTTCTGAGGTATCTGGTATTTCTAATTAATACAATATTGTCTTGCATCTTTCTGAAAATAACCATATTAATCCAATGTTTTCCTATTTTCTCAAGGATTCGTTCTTCTGTTTTTTAATTAGGTAATTCTCTGGATACTGGCCTTTTTAAATTAGGTAATTCTCTGGATACTGGATACTGGCTCATACTGATGAGTCTGGGCAACATATCGAGACCCCCATCTCTACAAAAAATAAAAAAATGAGCCAGGTATGGTGGTGCACACCAGTAGATGATGGTGCAGACCATTCACTCCAATGAAGTAGAAGTGGTCTTGTATGAACAGAAGAATTTAAAATGTTGCTTCTCTTTCATTTACTACTGTCTTTAAGAATTAATATTTGTTCTGGAGAGTGGGGTGTGTGTTCAATTTTGTGTTTGGTGATTTTTAATGTCTACTTAAGTCTGTTTTGGAGAATGTGTTTTCCCACCATAAGTGTCTACCGTGGCCTGCCTTCAGTAACTAGCAGGGAGATGGCACAAGCTGCTGAGATATTTGCAAGGTAGCTTCTCTTCCAGGTCAGGGGACTCAGCAGCTCCCTCCAGTATAGCCCTGCCTCTCTGGCACCAGTGCCCCCATTTATTATTTTAGGAAAGACAAAAGCAGCACTGCTGTCCTCTACTTGGCACAAACCAGTGAGAAGGAGGAGGGATCAACCAACCTTGTGCATCAAATCTGGTGAGTTCCCCAAGCGTCCCCTACTCTTACTGCCCTTGATGCTATTTCAAGCTGCGCACCTCTATCTTGCAGCAGTCTTCTCCTGCACACATTTGGACAACGGTTCTGTAAGGGCTTTCTCTCAATATATCTATCCCTATCTACTAACTACATTTCAGAGAATCCTCAAAATGTCAGTCTTTGTTTACTCAGACTAATATCAATTTTCTTTTCATTTTTAATTTTTTTATTTAACTGAATTTCCAATGGGTGTTCCTTTCAATTTGTCTCCCAAAATAAAATGTTAATGATGCCACTTTCATGATTCTCATTACAAAAAGGAGCACATTGTACGGCTTTGTTCTTGTCTCTGCAGGGTAAAAGCGCCCATGAAAACAATGAAGAACTGTATTCAAAAGAGAACATACGGAAAAAAACGGTTATAAAACAAAATACAAGTCAACTTTTCTCTTTATTTCTTTTATCTCATTTTAATTTTATGGCACTGGTAGGTGTGACCGTATTTCAGAAAGTTAATACAAATGTAACGTAAATCATTTTGATATAGAAATCTGCCTGGTATTTTTCATAACATCATCTGACTTATAAGGGCTTCTGAGCACAGTGGATCACTCTTGTAACCCTGGCACTTTGAGAGGCCAAGGCAGGAGGACTGCCTGAGGCCAGGAGTTGGAGATGAGCCTGGGCAACATACTGAGACCCCCATCTTTACAAAAAAATTAAAAAATTAGCCAGGTATGTTGGTGCACACCTGTAGTCCCAGCTACTTGGCAGGCTGAGGTGGAAGGATGCTTGAGCCCAAGAGTTCAAAGTTATAGTGAGCTATGATTGCACCAATGCACTCCAGACTGGGCAACAGAGCAAGATGCTGCCTATAAATAAATGAAAATGTAAAATTTAAAAGGAAAGGCATCACTATTTTCCCTCTTCCAACCCCTAAAAGCCTAAAACCTAAAGCCTGCAATAAGGATCTACCAAATTTTATAAATGGCTAACAGCCAAAAATTTATCAGAGTGAACTCAATGTAATACTAAATCCAGTGACAAAATAAAATAGAAAATGAGTATAAATATAACTAGAAGAATGAACCCACCTTCCTCCCTACTGGAAACATAAAGAATACATATTATAAGCAGTAGACATAAACTGGTGAATACCAAGTGAATGTCAGCTCTGGACCCACCCTGCCCAGAAACTGCACAGGAGGTTGGTACTTTGTCTAAGAACGGAACCACATATCTATGTAGTAACTCCCGTAACTTTCCAGCTTTGGCCAGGTCTTTGAGAAGCTAAGAAGTCAAC